ACACACACACACATAAACAAACACAGACACACACACACACACACACACACACACACACACACACACACACACACACACACACACACACACACACACACACACACATACACATACACATACACACATATATATATATACATAAACCTCAATGTATATAACACATAAATATTATAAAATATCTTTATTATAACACTTAAAATACTATAAATGGCTATAAATTAATATTTCAAAATATTAAACTATACCAAAAACATTTTTAGTTTCATTTGTAATAATATTCCATGAAAAATGGATTAAAATATTAATTTTCAATATGGGGTGTGCTCAATTATGCTGAGCACTACACACACACACACACACACACACACACACACACACACACACACACACACACACACACACACACACACACACACACACACATACACATACACATACACACATATATATATATACATAAACCTCAATGTATATAACACATAAATATTATAAAATATCTTTATTATAACACTTAAAAATTACTATAAATGGCTATAAATTTGTATTTCAAAATGTTAAACTATACCAAAAACATTATTAGTTTAATTACTTGTAGTGAACCTATTCTTTCCAAAAACGTCAAATTCTCCAAAACTCTAAACTTAAAATTCAATTTCGTATTTGGAATTATCAATAAAGGTAAAATAAGTCTCCTAATTTTAATTTCTAACCATATGAATCGCACAAAATCTGCATTTTTACGGATGTTTCTGTTTACATGTTTTATTACATGTGTTTATGCATTAATATTCTCAAAATAACTTTTTTTAATAAAATTTTCAAGTGAGCTGGTTCGTTTAAGCTTTATGTGGAAATATTTTTCATGTGTGTGAAGAAACTATTTGCTGAGATCCCAGAACATTTGCTGACCCCAGAGGGTTCATAACAATGAAGCTGCAGAAACTGTCATAAAAACACATCTGGTCCAATCCCCTCCCCCAGAGAATCCTCAGTCTATACCGATCGATGATTGGCTCCTGTACTAGAAGGCGGGGCTTAATTCACCATATTGACAGTTACACTTTTCCCCATTCAAAACTATATGAGTGACACGTCTTGTGTTTTCTATAGTCTTCAATTCCACTCCCTAATTATTATTTACCTTAATTATCATTATTCAGCTAGAATGTGTTCTCATTTACAGTGTGTTTGAGTGTGTCTGTACCTCATCATTGACAGTAACATAGATGGCCTCATTGGCAGCACTGCCAAACACACAGGCCTGACGGATGAGCCGTAGTTCCTCAGGGGGCAGGAGGGCGAACACCGGCCACTTCCCCACGTCCAGCATACTACTCTGTGAACAAAATCATTTCCAAAACATTAACTGCGTCTGAAGAGACCAAATTTAATTTGCTGTTTGAAGTTCAACAAGACATTAATGCATCAGAATAAAATCATATACGTAGCACATGTAATCATGCATAAGCGTCAAACACAAAAAAAAAATAAGTGCATGGATAGGTGACAAGACTTTTGTCAGGTAGTGTACATGTTTTACAGAAAACACCCCCAATTAAAGCTGCACAATATATTGTGTAATCATCGATATTGCAATATATCTGCAATGTCCTATCAGGATTAGTAGACAATCAAGCACAACCATTCAGAACATGAACATTTGTGGAATTACTGCAAATTGTATCCACAATACAGTGAAAGTTAATTATCTGCATGTGTTTTTAAAGCCTGTTTGAGTATTTTAAGCAGGTTTAAAGCATCCGGGTGCAAGAAAATGTACTTTTTGTAGCTTTAACAACAACTAATTGTATTAAATTATTTAAATAATGAAGACTATAGCGTCATTTTAAATTTGATTATTTAATTCCTGTACCTGAATACTAATTGACTACCCTTAAAAACATTAAAGTCAAACTGATGGAATTCTATTCATATCACAATATATATCACAAACAAAAGAGATATTTAAATAACATTAGTTTATACGCTCAAAAATAATGGCAGAATTATTTATAATAAAGATAATCTAATGGCATATTAAAGACTAAATAAATCTTTTTAGATTTTTTTTATTTAATATGAATGAACACTTTTTTTACACTTAAATAAGTACAGATGAGTACATACTCTCATTTTCACATGCTATGATGAAATATTACTTTATATTTCGACATCCTATTTCCACAATTGTGTTTAAAGTTAAAAACTACATTTAATGTTCTTTCTATGTGTAGAAAATTCACTTTTGTACATTTTATTTATTGTAGATCGACAGCATACGATATTTTGTAGCTGTTTTACAAACCAGTTCTAGCAAATTTCACAATTAGATTAAAAATAAATTGGAAGAAACACATAAAATTGTGAAATATTCATGCGGAAAGATAAGCTTAGAGTAAATAAAAACTTCCTACAGTAAACTGTGCAACTCAAACCTCAAATATATATATATATATATATACATATATATCAATCACTGGCCTGACATTGTCATAATTGATATCATTAATTTTAAACAGGATTTCTGCAGGTTTCACAGAATTTAAGACTTTAAGACATTTTTAAGACCAATACGGATGAAACTTTAAACTCATCAAGCACTAAAGGCTAAGAAATTTTTCAAATGGCTTTTTACTATACTATAAATAAAAATAAAATAAAATTAATACATTTAATATTACAATATTAATAAATAATACAAATATTTTAGATTTTATTTCTTAGCTAAATATTTAAAATATTGTGTAAAAACAAGCAAACCCTACTTGTATTCAAACACTTTTTCCCCAACATAAACTTTCTTTGAATTAAAAAAAGATTAAATGTTTTTAAAAAGTTTTAACAACTATTATAAACTAAATAGCAGTCGCCTCACAGCAAGAAGGTCGCTGGTTCGAGCATCGGCTGGGTCAGTTGGTGTTTCTGTGTGGAGTTTGCATGCTCTCCCTGCGTTAGTGTGGGTTTCCTCCGGGTGTCTCCATTTTTTTACAAAGTCCAAAGACATGCGGTACAGGTGAATTGGGTAGGCTAAATTGTCTGTGGTGTATGAGTGTGTGAATGTGGATGTTTCTCACAGATGGGTTGGGGGTGGAATGGCATATGCTGGATAAGTTGGCGGTTCGTTCCGCTGTGGCGACCCCAGATTAATAAAGGGACTAAGCCAAAAAAAAAATGAATGAATGAATAAACTAAATATATACAACAATCTGTCCAGGTCGCTTTCCTCAGCAGTAAATAGATAGAGATCTTTTAAACGAATGTTATTGTTAGGAATATAATTAAACCGGTAAATAGAGTTAAAATTATATTCTATAAATAAAAAGTTTTATTGAGATGATTGTTGGTGATTGTATGGGTTTTGGCCAGATTTGGTAGCTATAAATGAACAAAGGAAAATTAAGACCGGTTTAAAAAAAGATTTAAGACCTAAAACACAATATTTCAGTTATTTTAAGACTTTTACGGCATAACATTTAAATTTTGAGATTAAAGACATTTAAAAACCAAGCAGAAACCCTGTTTAAAGCACTTTATCTTAAGTGAAAAGCCAATAAAAACACAATACAGGTGACATATTGAGGTATGGTTGGTTTTGTATTTCCACATTCGTTCAGTGACAACTTATATATTAAACGTACTTGTTTACCACGTTACTTTGAATATTGGGTCTGAATTCGCATGCAAAGTGACATTAAAATCACACTAGCATGGTGTACTTTCCTAGTCATTGGCTGCTAATGTGATTTATTTATAATACTAAATATTGTGTAAATATAATAACTTCATCTAAATACGTCAAGTTTTACTGAAATAACATAGCTGTCAAAGTTTAATTAGCTTAAATAAAACATTACAAACCAAACAACGTGTGACTAAACAAAGTCTGCGTTAATAGTAACGTTAGCTGTAAAACATCTAAGTACTTTTTAAACGCATTAATGAGTGCATGTGTAAACAAAGACGCGTTATTATTATTCAGCTGTTAGTTAGCTAACAAGCTAACTATCGTTTATTTTCATAACACCTCCACTGCTTGCAGAGACGAAAACAGTCCTCGAGTCTGCACGAAGCTCAAGCTAACATGTCAGATAACACCACCCGAATGTATACGAAAGTTGTTAAATTAACTAAACACAACTAAAGGTGTTTGAATGGGTAAAGCTGCTAGCTGATGTTAGCCGAGTGAGAATGACGTCACGGAGAAGTGTCAATCCGTCTCACGTCGAGTTTTACAAATAAAACTCTGAATGTTTACCTCGTGTTAAATGAATCGTCAAGGTCTTCATTCCTGTGGCAGATTAGGATGGAGATGGTGGAGTAAAGCGTCAATTCTGCATGTCTGCGAGTTGAGGTGGATGTTCAGTCCTCTCTCAGCTGGCAGTGTCTCATATGGGTGGATTTGAGCGACACAGGATTTCAAACTTCCCTTACAAGACATGGTGACTACAGCAAAACCACATATTAACTGCTAATATCGGTAACGTTATACTGTAAATACATGATACACTGGTTAATCCTTCACTTTAACCCTTACTTTTTGAACAGACATAAAAAATTACATGTTCAATAAAATTGTTTATTTACTGGAAAAAACAGCTTAAACCAGCCTAGACTTTTGCCACTTCCAGGCTGGTTTCCAGCCATTTCCAGCCTGGTCTTAGCTAGTCAGGCTGGGAGGTGACCAGCTAAAACCAGCTTATCCAGCCAAAACCAGCTATGTCCAACTTAAACCAGGCTGGTCAAGCTGGTTTTAGCTGGTTAAGGCTGGTCATTTTCCAGCCTGACCAACTAAGACCAGGCTGGAAATGGCTGGTAACCAGCCTGAAAGGGGCCAAAACCCCTCTAAAACCAGCCTGGTTGACCAGCTAAAACCAGCCTAACAGCACGTAGGGCTGAAGCTGACACTAGTGGATGCTCTGGAACTCTGGGGCTGAAGTCAACACTATGGGGCACCCTTGGTCTGAAACCAACATCGGGGGGGGGGGGGCTCTGGGCCTGAAGTGGATACTCAGGGGCCCTTTGAGGCTGAAGGCAACACTGGAGGGCACTCTGGGGCTGAAGCCAACACTGGGGGGCACTCTGGAACCAAAGCAGACACTGCATGAACTCTGAGGCTAAAGTCAACACTGGGGGGCACTCTGGAGCTAAAGCCAATAATGAGGGCTCTCTGAGGCTGAAGCCAACAATGAGGGCACTCTGGAGCTGAAGCCAACACTGGGGGCACTCTGGAGCTGAAGCCAACACCCTGGGGCACTCTGGGGCTGAAGCCAACACTGAAAGCACTCTGGAGCTAAAGTCAACACTTTGGGGCACTCTGGGGCTGAAGCCAACACTTAGGGCACTCTGGGACTGATGCCAACATTGAGGGCACTCTGGGGTTGAGGCCGACACTGAGGGCACTCTGATGGCTGAAGTCAACTCTGAGGGCACTCTGGGGCTGAAGCCAACACTAAGGGCACTCTGGGGCTAAAGCCAACACTGGGGAGCACTCTGGGGCTGAAGCCAACACTGAGGGCGCTCTGGGGTTGAAGCAGACACTGGGGAGCACTCTTGGGCTGAAGCCAAAACCGAGGGCACTCTGGAGCTGAGGTCAACACTGTGAGGCACTCTGGGGCTGAAGCCAGCACTAAGAGCACTCTGAGGCTGAAGCAGACACTGGGGGCACTCTGGGTTGAAGCCGACACTGAGGGTACTCAGGGACTGAAGCCAACACTGGTGGCACTCTGGGGCTAAAGCCAACACTGAGGGCACTCTGGGGCTAAAGCCAACACTGAGGGCACTCTGGGGCTGAAGCAGACACTGGGGGCACTCTGGGTTAAAGCCGACACTAAGGGCACTCAGGGACTGAAGCCAACACTGGTGGCACTCTGGGGCTAAAGCCAACACTGAGGGCACTCTGGGGCTAAAGCCAACACTGAGGGCACTCTGGGGCTAAAGCCAACACTGAGGGCACTCTGGGGCTGAAGCAGACACTGGGGGCACTCTGGGTTAAAGCCGACACTAAGGGCACTCAGAGACTGAAGCCAACACTAGTGGCACTCTGGGGCTAAAGCCAACACTGAGGGCACTCTGGGGCTAAAGCCAACACTGAGGGCACTCTGGGGCTAAAGCCAACACTGAGGGCACTCTGGGGCTGAAGCGGACACTGGGGGCACTCTGGGTTAAAGCCGACACTGAGGGCACTCAGGGACTGAAGCCAACACTGGTGGCACTCTGGGGCTAAAGCCAACACTGAGGGCACTCTGGGGCTAAAGCCAACACTGAGGGCACTCTGGGGCTAAAGCCAACACTGAGGGCACTCTGGGGCTGAAGCAGACACTGAGGGCACTCTGGGGCTAAAGCCAACACTGAGGGCACTCTGGGGCTGAAGCAGACACTGGGGGCACTCTGGGTTAAAGCCGATACTGAGGGCACTCAGGGACTGAAGCCAACCTCGGCGGGCACTCTAGGACTGACGTCGACATTGAGGGCACTCTGGGGTTGACGCAGACACTGGGGGGAACTCTTGAGCTGAAGCTGAAACTAGTTGCACTATAGGGCTATAGCCAACAACAGAGGGCCCTTCGGTACTGAAGGGTACACTGGGGGAGCGAGTGGTCACTGCTGACATTCTCAGGAGGCAGGTGCATAGTGAATCTGCCAGTATGTAAGGTGAAAAGCACACTGGCAGAACTCCACCATACATTTGACATCAGGTCAAATGTACCTCAAAATACTTTCATCTCCCACTGTGGTATACACTTGAGCCGAGCACTGCATTAAAGACTGGAGAATTAACAAGACCAAAACAAAAGAGTCCCGACAATCAGACCATCATACATTAAAACAATCACCATTTTCCTGAATCCCACACCTAGTACATCCAGAGAAACCGAGAATTTTCAAGTGGTTGATTTTTTTTGTTTCTCTCATAAAAGAAAACAACCTTCTTCAAATGAAACAACACATTCTTTATGAAAGATCAGTCTGTAATTTACTGGATGTGTGTAACAGTTCTCATGAATCCAGCATTGCATCAAGATTGGCTGGGTGTGTCTGTGGGCTGGGAAAGGGAATCATTTCTCCAGTGCAGCTGTGTGTGTGTGTGTGTGTGTGTGTGTGTCTGTGTTCAGTCATGCCTTTATACGGTTTATTATACAGAGATACTTCACCTCTCAGCCTCCACACTCGCACTCCTCTGCAGGATTTAACCTTCATTTCTGGAGACGTTTTCTGAAGTCGTGGATTCAGTTCTCACAGGTACGCGCATTAGTTGAAGAAGACCACATTTTTTACAGTGGACTGTTGACATTATTGTACTGTCATTTTACTCTGTTCATTGTTATAATCGTGACCACAAAACCTCTTATGAGTGTATTTGTTACAGTAGACAAAAAATACAGTATACGGGTGATTAGTTATGCCAAAAATGATTTGAATATTAAGTAAAGATCATGTTTCATGAAGATACCATGTCCATTTCTGACTGTATATTGTAATGTAATGTTTGATTTGTGAAGTGTATTCCAGAGCTGAATATTAGCTGAATGTTATTTATTTGCGATTTCTTACAGTGCTAAAACAGTGTTGTTATTATTATATCTACATAAATATTGTGTGTGTGTGTGTGTGTGTGTGTGTGTATTAACTTAACTAGGTTAATTAGGTGAACTACGCAGGTTAGGATAATTAGGCAAGTTATTGTATAACGATGGTTTGTTTTGTAGACTATCGAGAAAAAAAATTAGCGTAAAATTAAATAATTTTGTGTGCAGAGTTACTGAAGTTTGTCCTGCGCGATTGCGTTTTTTTTAGTTACTTCTTTGGTTTGGTGCGTTAATCTTATCGTTACTATTATTCAAAAGAAGGTATTGATTCGCACTCAATTGCTTCGTACTGTTTTTATTTTTACTTTTTCTTACATTTTACGGGTGATAACAGACAAACAGATGTTTTGATTGTTTATTGTCATTGCTGTGAAGATTATAAGTTATTGTGTGATTAATGGATAATGAAATGAGAGTGACGGTTTAACTAATTGCACATTGTGATTGACTATGGAATAAAAGGGTGGAGTTAGAGAATTGTGTCACACACTGAGGAAGGCTTTGTGCCGAAACGTCTGTTTGTCTGTTATCACCCGTAAAATGTAAGAAAAAGTACAAATAAAAACAGTACGAAGCAATTGAGTGCGAATCACTACCTTCTTTTGGCTAATAATTGTGTCCCAAAAATGTTTTTTAAAAAATTAATAACTGTTTTTATTCAAGCCGAAGTAAAACAAATAAGACTTTTTCCAGAAGAAAAAATATTATCAGACATACTGTGAAAATTTCCTTGCTCTGTTAAAAATCGTTTAGGAAATATTTAAAAAAGAAGAAAAAAATCAAAAGGGGCTAATAATTCTGACTTCAACTGTATATATATAATAAAATATTTCCCAACTGGGCAACACGGTGGCTTAGTGGTTAGCAATGTTGATTCACAGCAAGAAGGTCGCTGGTTCGAGCCTAGGTCAATTGGCATTTCTGTGTGGAGTTTGCATGTTCTCCTCGTTGGTGTGGGTTTTCTCCGGGTGCTCCAGTTACAGTCCAAACACATACGCTATAGGTGAATTGGATCAGCTAAATTGGCTGTAGTGTATGGGTATTTCCCAGTTATGGGTTGCAGCTGGAAGGGCATCCGCTGTGTAAAACATATGCTGGATAAGTTGGCAGTTCATTCTGCTGTGGCGACCCCGGATTAATAAAGGGACTAAACTAAAAAGACGAATGAATGAGTTGACGCTGTGGCAATCCTTGATGAATAAAAAGACTAAGCTGAACAATAGTGAATGAATAAATGAATGTTTCCCAGCTGATGTTTAACAGAGCAAAGACATTTTCACAGTATTTCCTAAAATATTTATTTTTATTTGTATTATTTTAACTTGCAATTTTTAGTTGTATTTCAGCTAAATATTGTTTCGTCTTAACAAACTATGCATCAATGCAAAGCTTATTTATTCATTTATAACTACATATATAAATATAAATTGACTTTAAGGACTGCTTTTGTGGTCCAGACTCATAATTTATTATAATTGAATTAATTAAATTAACTATTCATGTTAAACATCTACATAAATACCATATATACAGTTGTGGTCAAAATGATTAGCCCTCCTGTGATCTATTTTTCTTAATATTTCCTAAACTATGTTTAACAGAGCAAGACATTTTTCACAGTATTTCCTACACTCTCAGAAAAAAAATGTACACTGTTGTACCAAAGAAGGTACAAACCCTTGTCACTGGGGCAAGCAGTGCCTTTTTATGGAACAGAATTGTACCTTAAGACAAAGAAACTAATTTGTACCATTGCAGTTTGTACCTTTAAGGACATGATTTGTACCAAATTTGGTTTTTAAAACCTGCTGATATCACAAATCTGATCCACGAAGGTACCACTACAGTGACAAGACACTCTGTACCTCAACAGTGTGAAATGTGCTCCTTCAAGAACTATTTAAAGGCATTTTGCTTTATCCAAGTCAATTTATTTTCAGTAAATATAAAACATCAGATACATTTATAAAACAATGTTTTAGTTTACAGAGAAGTGTATTTTTGTACACATTTTCAATATACAATAAAACATAAAAAACACTTTAACATGAACTAAAAGTCTCTTTAAACTTTAAATGAGGATTCATGTTTTAGTATGGTTTACAGTCATACTTGTTTTCATAGATATTGTAATAAAGGAGTTGCCCAACACTTATGTACCTCCTTTTTATGAGAACAATTGTGTAGCTTTATTTATATTACAATTATAAAAGGTACAGAACAGTATCATAAGAGGTCTTTTCTGTACCATAAATGGTGCAATTTTTACAAAGGTACAAAATTGTTCCTTTAGAGGCATTATTTAAACCACCGTATACCTTTTTCTGAGAGTGTTTAACATTTTTCCTTCTGGAGAAAGTCTAATTTGTTTTATTTCGGCTAGAATAAAAGCAGTTTTACATTTTTTTAAACACCATTTTAAGGTCAATATTATTAGCCCCCTTTTGTTTTGTTTGTTTGATTGTCTACAGAACAAATCCCATTTGTCTAATAACTTCCCTAATTAACCTTGATTATGTCACTTTAAGCTGAATAGTATCTTGAAGAATATCTAGTCAAATATGTGCTCTCATCATGGCAAAGACAAAATAAATCAATTATTAGAAATGAGTTATTAAAACTATTATGTTTCTATTAAGTAACACTCATTTTTAAAAGAATTACAGTGTCACAGGACGGCTAACCATTTTGACTTCAACATATAAATACTGCACTGTAAAACCCAAAAGGTTAAGGTAACTCAAACCATTAAAGGAAACCAATTGCAACAAACCATTTAAGCTCAAAAACTAATCCTAAAGAGTTCTGTAAACTTAATATATTTGAGTAAACGAAGCAATTTGAGCACAGTAAAACCCAATTAATGAAGAGAACTCAAACCAACTGAGTACTGTAAAACCCAATACGTTAAGTCAACTCAAACAGTTTGAGGAAACAGATTGCAACAAACCATTTGAGTTAAAAACTAACCTGAGTACTGTGAACTTACTCCAAGTTGAAGTAATGAGGTATTTAATTAACTCATTACGTTCAACACTGAGGTCAGAACTCCTTTCAAATGAGTAATATGAACTTTCAGTAAATTTTTTATTTGATAAAGTTGATTCTTGGGCTTTACAGTGTGTGTATCTTAAATGGTGCAGATGATATCAGATTGGATTAATTAAATATTACCGTATAGCTCGAATGTTGAATTTTAAGGCATAATTTTATTGGTAATAATTTCACTGTTAATAAACAACATCAGCAGCTGCAACTGAAACAAATTCCTTAGTCACAAACTCTCATGTTTGCATAAAATCGATTGCCAGTTTCCTCATTTTTCTCTGCGTGTCAGTGCAAACTCAGCTGTGTGTTATGCTGAAAGCTCAGTCACTTTTGCCTTGAGCGGTGAGTATGTTTTATTGTTTATAACAAATGATTTATTTGACCTCATCACTGAAGCTTAATTTCAGCTTATGTAATTAAATGATTCGTCCAACTAATAAATAAACTATAGTTTGATCTTAAATTATATATATATATATATATATATATATATATATATATATATATATATATATATATATATATATATATATATATATTTTTATATAA